TAAAGTAAAATATTTCGTAAATCAAAGAAACGGGTAAACGGGCGAGGCAGGCGGTACTCGTAACTGGCTCATCAGTGATTTAGTACAAATGTAGCCATTTATGCGTAAAAACAAGTAATCTCACAGTGGGCATGGCATGGCATGCCCGTCGGCAATGGGTTAACGTAAACAATGGGAAAAAAGGTAATGGAGACCCGACTTTCGTCATACAAACAAATCAACATACAAACAGCCTCTCGGTCCCCATATGTTCTTAAGTTGGGGACTTACTGTACTACATGTTTTGTTATCATTTGTTTGAAGAAAACAAAAGATGAAATGGTTTACATAGTTTCCAAAAGTAGATACAAATACACTTGGGTTTTCATGTTCTACCAGTCACACTCCTTGTTACAAACAGCCTAGGTTTTTACCTCATTCTATATTTACATTGTTTACATTGGCGATATTGCCAGATAGGTAAAAGTGGGACCCAGCAAGTGTACTGAAATATAATTCCACATCTGTACATCCTTCTTAACCCAGGTTTTTTCCTGGGTTCATCTCTCATCACTTTCTGCTTGCACTTGAGTTTGCTGAAAGTAGCCATGTGGATGTGCCGTCATGCTGGAAAGATACAAGATTTTGAATGTACAAGGCCTAGTTTACTCTTTTCCCAAACCAGGGGATGTGCCCCTGGATCCTTAGCCTAACCTATTTTTTTCCTAGTCTGGGGCTGTGGCCCTGGACCTCTAGGATTAGACTAGTCTTAACCCTAGCTAAGAAATAAAGTTGTGACTACATTTATGATAGTGTAATGCAATTTCTGTTGATTAGTTTTACAGGAGTTGCAGTTACACATGTTCAGTGTGGGATTCTCAATCTCTGCTCTAATCACAGTACTGATTAATTCACTATATTATCTAATGCAGGGGGGGGTGCCTCCTGTGACTCCCCTCCTGGGGGCTGCTGCCCAGGAAAACAAAGAATCCTTAATGTATTCACAGCAGGACCACTGCTTTCTCTACTTCGTTTTCAAAATTTTCTGCCAATGGCTGCAGAGCCACCTACTTCTTAAGAGTGCAAAATATTTTTATAATGTTGTAGGGATTTATATGACACACTGCACATACACAGACCATGTTTTAGCTGATGTTCATTCTTTGGCTGTTTCTTTATGCTTTGTTTCCCCATTGGCTGTTAAATAAACTGCCAAACAATTGGCCAATCAAATCATGGCACTGGCCAGGATGTTACAAGTAAAATAACAGGAACAATATGTGTACGAGGGACCCTCCACATGCTCAGTGGAGAATTTGGTCAGTTTTCCCTCAGCGATCGCAAGAATCTGACTTCCATTTAATATTATCAGTTAATTTGCAAATTAAATAGCTTCAGTTAATTTAATTTATTTAATGAAAAATAATCAATAATTAAAACTTTTCAAGGCTGTAAGGGTAGTTTTGATTGATTCTTTGTTAACATTTATTTCCAATAATACCACTTGCTCTCCAAGTTTTCATAATTTCTGAATTTGTTTGCACAGGTTATTTCATGTATTTGCTTGTATGATTTTATTGTTATCATAGTGTGGTCACTAAGTAAATCATTTTGTAAATATTTTGGTATACATGTAATGCTTAGCAAGGGAGCATAAACTCCAATTAACTTCATAACAAAGGAGGTTTGCAATCCAGGACCCCTGTGATGTAGGGTATATACAGTACATTATAGTTATATATTCCCTAACCAGGGGCATTATTCATGACAGGTTAATGATTGTTCAGTAATTCTCTAAAATTCAGATGTACTCACCAGAGATTAAGTCCTTAACTCTATGTTACATTTTTTTCAATTATTTTAGTTACTGTGATTGTGCAAGACTGCCTGACATGAGGATTGATTGGGGGATAGATCCTCTGGTAAACACTCTCTTCACCTCAGTATACAAGCCAAGATAGAGCTGAAACTTGGGTAGCACTGAGTGGACTTGGGCTTTGAGTGGCACTTTCTTCCATTTATCCTAGTTTAGTGCATCTAGATCATGAAGATTGACCTAAATAATTATACTGAACCTTTCATGATACTCTGTTGTAATATGCAATTAAATATTTAAATGATTCTTACTTATCATAACAGTAATATAGCATATCCCTGCATTTATTGTCATATAGGCCTAGTTGTCCAAATTACAGTTAGATATATAAAATGTAATATTATCTTCATAACATAAGTAAGGTTTATTTGAAGTATTTAGTTTAACATATTATAATTAATTATTTTCACAGAGTCTATAACAATGTAAATGCTTGTGGCACCAGTGCAGATCATAAACAAAATTAGAAAGAACAATCATAGACCTTTGGAGAAAACTGCCTGAGGGGCACAGCTCCCAGACCAAGGGGTTTGGAGTTATAACTTTGCTGCAGTAATTAGAAAGTCAACATTCTTCAGTGATAAGCATTAGAGAATACTTCATGTGTTCCTACATATGATTTGCTGTTTGAAACCTAAATATATT